TCCATTTTTGAGGTCTTGTGGAGAACGGGTGAAGTTCCAGAGGACTGGAGGGTGGCATCAGTGGTCCCATTTTTCAAAAAGGGTAGTAGAGGGGACATAGGGAATTATAGACCTGTTAGCCTTACGTCCATTGTAGGAAAAACAATGGAAAAGCTCATAATAGAGAGAGTTCTAGTGATGCTAAATAGGGAAGGGAGGCTGACAGCCACACAACACAGCTTCTGCAAAAACAGGTCCTGCCAGACAAACCTTGTGGAATTCTATGACAAGGTTTCGAGATGGCTAGATGGAATGCAGTGGATGTGGTTTACCTGGATTTCAGCAAGGCCTTTGACAAAGTGCCCCATGATAGCCTGGTGGAGAAACTGAGGAGTTTTGGGATACACCAAAGCACTGTCCGGTGGATTAGGGCATGGTTGACTGACTGAAAGCAGAGGGTAACCATTAGCGGGGAATCATCGGGATGGCAGCCAGTGACAAGCAGGGTCCCCCAGGGCTCTGTCCTGGGGCTGATCCTGTTTAATCTTTTCATCAATGACATGGAAGAAGGGGTGAACAGTCTGCTGATCAAATTCACAGACAACACTAAAACTGGAGCAGTGGCCACAACTGAGGAGCAGGTACTCCAGATCCAAAAGGATCTGGACAGACTATGGAAGTGGGAAGGAGACAACAGGATGGCGTTCAATGTGGATAAGTGCAAGGTCTTGCATTTGGGGCATAGGAATAGGTGTCATAAGTACAGGTTAGTGGACAAGTGGCTGGAGAGCAGCACTTGTGAAAGGGACCTCGGGGTGTTGGTTGACTGCAGGCTAAACATGAGTCAGCAGTGTGATGTGGTGGTCAAGAGGGCGAATGCCACCCTTGGTTGCATAGCCAGAAGTGTGGCTTCTAGATCGAGAGAGGTATTACTACCACTCTATACGACTCTGGTGCGCCCACAACTGGAGTATTGTGCTCAGTTTTGAGCCCCTCATTACAGAAAGGATATAGCCAGGTTAGAGTCAGTGCAGCTTAGGGCTACAAGGTTGGTGGCTGGTTTGCAGGGGATGGGGTATGAGGCGAGACATTTGCTGGGCCTCAAGTTGCTCACCCCTAGTTCAGGAAGCTTTTTTAAAAATGTGGGTATAACAAAAGTGTTTGCCTGGGCAACTTCCTTGTGGTCATTATTTACAGTTACAAATGCAGAGGTATACAAATGATAACAGATTCTTGCACAGCAGCCCTCCAACTACTGCTTAGGGTACTTCAGTCAACTGCAGTGAGTTTCTGAGGCAAGTCAGCTTCAGGTCAATTCAAAATAGTAGTGTGGTGTGAACTATTAATATGCCTGGAGAGGGAAGGAAAGTGGAGCGGGCTGTGATGTGTAAGGAGAAGTGTGGGGAAGCAATCCAGCAGATGTAACTAGGTCATAAGTGTTTGCTGAGCACAGGGGAAACTTTTCACAAGGCTTGGGCAAAATTGGTTCTGGCACTGCAGTTTGGCTTGAAGGTAACTTTTGATGGCTGGCCACAGCTGGTAGGCAGCTCCTGAAATTGAGTGTATTCTAATATTTGAACATATCCTTGAATATAAATGCTCAATTTGTGGGGTGTTTTATCTTTATCACAGTATTGTTGGATGTCCACTGTTCATCCAAGAATGTAAGGACTGACCTGCTGAATCAGATCAGAGGCCTATTTAGTCTGGCATTGTGTTCTCATAGTGGCTGAGCCTGTGGAAAGAGCTCAAGAAAGGCAGAACAGATTGGATTTTTAATTTCAATGAAAGATTAGTGAAATTGGAAATTGCAGACCTAGAGGTAGGAATATACAATAAATTATAGGCTAAAGAATCAATAGAAAGCACTGACTCCAAATAATAGGCATGTATTTAGAGATGGGTTAATAAAAATGTAGTACTCCATGAGAAGAATTAATCCTCCAATCTCCTATAATGTCCCCAATAGAAGCATACTGTGGAAAACATTCTAGGAATAACAATAATCTTATAACATATAGAAACATGTCTGAGCAACAAGGGTGAATTAAGTCATGGAAAGAACTAAAAGATGAAGCTAAAAAACATAGAATGGCTCCTCTATTATCAGCTAGCCTCAAGATTAAAAATGAAATTCAAACTGGAAAAAGCATAATAAGAAATCTAACAGACTTTGAAATTAAAAATCAAATAGACCATCTCCTAGGATGAATTTATAAACAACTGCTTAAATAATGATATGGAGGCTCAACGATAAAATATGCATGAAGAGCTGGATGCAGAATCTGCAAGAAATATCATCTCACCAATGGGAAGTCTTATGGGCGAAGGACATAGCATTTACTGCATGCCAGGCACTAAGGGAAAATTGGTATAACAGGTATTTCTGGTGGTATAGTACCCCAAAAGAGATACAGAAAATGGACAAGTATAAAATGTTAGAAATGAAAAGAGATAGATGGGACACTACCATATGTGGTGACAGAATTAAATAATTTTGGAAGCAGACACATACCAAGATGCAGAAAATTCTCAAATTAACTTTCCAATGAATGCCAAGAACTTGTTACCGAGTTGTCCCAGAGACTATCCCAAATTTATGCCAGATTTATATAAATATATGGTAGCAAGTAGCAAAAAAACCGCCTAGCTGTTGAAGACTGGAAAAACAAGCTAGTTGAGTGAAGCTAACTATTGTCAACGTTAAAGAATTCACTCAAAGATGAACAACTTACTATGTTGTTCTTACTATGTTCTATGTTACTATAGTAGCTATAGTGTGTGTGTAGTAACTATAGTATACTATAGTAACTATGTTACTATGTTACATAATTACTATGTTACTATGTTCCTACTATGAACAACTTATACAATGGTTAAAGAAAATATGTTAACAAATGTTTGTGATTACTGTTCTCTACCAAAGCAATGTTATGATCTATAACTATTTTTATAGACTAGATAAATGTATGAATGAGAATTAAATGAGTTGTTTGAAGAAGTGGTTGACAGAATTTTATTTATTGTAAATGTGCTTAAATGAGGAATTGCTTGCTAAATCTTTGGATCGACTCCTGAGCTCTTTCTTCCTGTATACTTTTTTTTTCCTTTTTATTGTACTTTCTGAAAATAATAAGATTTGAAAAAAAAAGGCACAATTCCCTTCTGCTTTGTTTTCATCAGCTAATATTGACATTGAAAGGCTAGTCGCCACTGATAACCTTTGTCCTTGTGGATTTGTCTACTCCCCTTTTAAAACCATCCACATTATTGACAAATCTGATCTTCTTTACATTATGTAAAGAAGATCTTCCTTTTTTCTGGCTGAGTCACCCACCCAGTAGTAGTAGTTGTTTTTTAAGAAGACTTTAAATTCTAACATTTTAGAAAGGGTGGAAAATCTTATTCCTGTCAACTTTCTCTCCACTATTTTTAAAGATTTTTGTAAAACTTTATATTGTGGCCTCCTTTCTTGGATTTCAGAAGACCCAAATGTTGTCAGCTATCATCATAGGAGAATTGCCCCACCCTTAATAATTTTGGTTGTCCTTTTATGTGTCCCATCCAACTCTGTGTTCAAGAACCAACAGCAGGCCTTTACTTGAAAACCTTCAAATGTGTTGGCAATTCACATCCCTTTGTAGCATCTTTCCCCATTGGCCAAGCTGGCCAGAGTTGGCAGGTTATAGGCCTAAATCTGTGGAGGGCCATAAGTTATTTATTGCTGTCTTAAAGAAAAAGGTGGTAATATATTGGTGCAGTTCTAGATGGAAGCTGGAAATTCCTTTCCTGTAACGTGAACCTTTACATCTTGCCCCGTTACCAGATTTCAGAACAATTCTTTGTTGAGCCATATGTAAAAAATACTCTCCAGCTTCTTTTCAGCTCCTTCCCAGTTTCTTCCTCTTGGCATAATATCCACTGTTTCTTTTTCTTTTCTTGTTATATGATACGATTTTTGTCATCACTCTAGTTTTCTCTAGGCATTTCTCAGTGTACCTAAGTTATAAGAGGCACTTGCTTAGTGCTTAAGTAATGCTTGGAACTCACTTCAGATTAAGACTTCACATGCAGCTACATGCTCAATCCTTCACCATGTTTAGGTGTCCATAAACCATATAACTATTCCTAAAATGTCATCAAGGAACCACTACCATAGCCTAGGTAATCTTTAATTATTGTTAAATATTGAATGAGATATGCTCAGGTCATGCTTTCATGATTTATACCGCAGATGGTTAATGGCTGAGTTGACGAAATGGTCCCTGTCCTGGTGTGCATATGCCCAAAATGCACAACAGGAGAAGGTTTTCTTTTAAAAGATTTACTTTCCAGAATAACCAGCTACCAATGAATTGTTCCAGATGGGATGCCTGAGCAGTCCTCAGTTGGCCCTTTCATACATTGATCATTAAAGGGTTACATGTAACACAGTTAACACTTCCCAATAGGTTAGAGAAGTAAAAAGTTGCAATGCTGTGATCTTTCCCACTTGCATACCAAGGAAGGTGCTCTAAAGAAGGGTGGAGGATGGGGTGGGCTGGTGTGAATTGCCCTTTGTCTGAGCTGCTGTGATCTTGTCAAGTGCTAACTAGCTTTCTTGGGATTGGTGCCTGCTCAGCATCAGCTGCATTTCAAGGTTGCACACATGCTGATTTCTAGGAAAGAGGGTGTTTCTCAGCTCTGCTTATGTGTCACTGATTGCATGATTTAACCAATGAAAGTTATATCCATTGATTTGTACATCAGCTGTGTTCACACAGTATGTCACACCACAGCTTAGCATATTGTATAGGTTAAGTGGAAATGAATTCCAACCAGTCATTTCAGGGTTTGTGTACTTCATGTGTGTCCGGGGCAAGGGTTCTGGACATTTTTGCTACGCTCTCCTGCGTGAAATGTAAATGGTCACCTTGCTCTGCTATTTTAGTTTCCTGGTATTCATGTAAAAACTTCAGATGCTTCTGTCACAAGCTGTTGCTGGTTCTCCTTGTGTAAATCTTGTTACATTTCCCTTTCAGAACTTGTGTAGGTGATTCCATTGGTGCAGCCTGCCCAGTGTGTCACACACCAGCCATGGTACAAGACGTAAAAGTAAACAGGCAGCTAGAGAGTATCATCAAACTGTATATCAAATTGCAAAGCTTGCAGAACAGGGACTTCACAGGTAAGTAAAATGATGGCTGTTAGATCCCTAGACCAATGTGTGTGTTAGACCAAAACTATGCACATCTTGAAAAGACAATTTAATGAAGGTCAGGGAATTTTACAGCAGAATGTGAATGTCTAGATACTTCTCCTTTCCCAAATCCACCGAGATCTTCCTTCAAATAGAGGGGAAAGGCTAATACAGCATTTATATCTGCAATTCACTAGAATCTCTGCTGAATTTAGATGAAAGTATCACATTTTGCAGGTACATATTGATCTGTTGCTTAATCAAATGCTTAGAAGTAATGTAGGTATTCTCCATTTTTAGGCTTGCTTATATTTCTTTAGGGAATTTTGCCTGTTCTATATACCAAGTATGAGCCTACTCCCATAAGACAATCTCATGTCTATGTACATTGTGGGTAATTCCTATGGTTAGATCAAATATGCAGTCCTTTATATTGTTTGGAGGCTGATGGCAAGGAACATGGTTTATTGATACCTGAGTGTATTACATATTTGCATATTGTATTCTCCAGTCAAAGAATCATTCTTATGAATGAAGATTATCTTGTCAGGAAATCTGTAAAAAATATAATGCAGGGAATGGGTCTTATACGCCAGTCTATCTAAAATCTGTTTTGAAGAATGTGTCTTGTAGAAATCAGGATCGAATACTGTTCTTTGAAGCAGTCTTTATATAAGAGTGTACTGGTTTATTGCTTCCTTTCTCAGAGGGTTTCAGATACTAATCCAACAGGAAGAGTTTAATACATAGATTTATGATGGGAGACCCAAAGAAAAGAACACTGGCAGAAGAACTTTTTCACAATCTTGAGATATCTGTTAAGCAGAATATCAAATGAGAATCATCTGATACAGCTGTAACTTCACAAAAATAACTTTTTCTTGTTGGTTAATTGGTATATCTTCCTGTCACATTCCTTCCCATCACCCATGAAGGTCACATATGCATGGTGTTAGATCTTGCATGAAACAAGCCAAAATAGATTTAAGAAAAGAAAACCAGCAATATTTATTAAGAATACAGCAAGCAAGGGTGTTGACATATTATTGCACATATAAGGCAGAACACATTGGAACTGCACAGTACACAATTAGAACAAAGCTTTTATAGCTTACCTCATCCTTGGACAACTTTCTCATAGGCCCCCTCCCTTCCCAAGGCTGGGAATTGTCCTCCCTCCTTTCATACCTTATCTAAGGACGCCACTTTCAAGATGCAGCTCAAGCACTCATCCTTGGCCTAGTTCCTTCTTGTTCTCTCTTATCCAGAAGCAGTTCTCCTACAGCTACATACACACAAGTTTTCTTGTTAATCCTATATTTATAAAAAGAAAGGAGACACCATCTTCTCCAATAGCGGCCTTAGATGAGTCATTCTCTGTGATGATCTTCCATCTCAGCCTGGCAGTGAGGATGAGAAAAAGAATAACTAGCTTGCCCATTTGAGCTTCTTTGAGGAAAGATGGGATACAACTATAATTGATGATGTGAAGGCATCCATATTTAAAGAAAAAAAAGCACCTCAAAACAGACTTAACAAGGGGGATCCACTGTTGTCACCCACTTGCAGAGGAATCTTTGCTATTGATCTCAGTTCTAAGAAAGCAGGAAGGGTGTCTTCTGAGGGTATTCCTGCAGGGGTGGAACTAGGAGCCTTCACAGGAAATAAAGGTGAGGAATGCAAATTCCAAAATGCAGGTGGGCCAGACTGGAATACTCCCATGAGCTACTCATTCAGCACCCCTGTTCAAGCAAGTTTTCATCCCTCATGGGCGAACCACTTTTAGGGGGAAAGGTACTGTATTTGAGAGGGGCAGTTCTGTGAAAAAGTCAAGTGTTGGAAAACTCTTCAGGTGACAATTATAATACCTTAGTTAAATAATTTAAATGGAAAGATTGATTTTAATTTACATGTAATTAAATTCAGAGCAGGGAAGACTTAATTTTTTTCCTGATGAGCTAGTATTTGAACCACAATGATGCTGCTTTAACAAAGAAGACTGTTTTGACAGGTCTTTATTTATTCATGTATTACTTACATAAAGAAGAAGACTTGGCCTGGCCCATGCAGTAAAACCAATCAAATCAATTTAAATCATGATTTAAATAACAAATCATTTAAATGGTTTCATCAGTAAAACTAGATTTAAATCATGGTTTTTTACGTAATTTTGCACACATGCCTGCCTCACCTGTAGGTAGAGGAACTTCATTAAAATATTCCCAAACTGGGTTTCTTTTATAGCCTGCTATCACTACAGGTTTTCTCCTCCAGGGAAAGAATAGTATGATAGACATAAAAGAGATCCAAAGACTTGTGGAGTATTCTGTTCACACAATGTTTCACTTTAATTTTACTGCTCACCCCTCCTTTCTCACAATTAGCTTCTTGTGCAGATCTATTCCAATTCCAGCAATCTTTTTTGAAACTTAGCCCTTAAGAGGGAAGGGGTTGATTCTGTGTATACAGGGCTGCAAAGGCACAATGGGATTCAGGTCTTTTTCTTAAGTCTGCATGTTTATAATATTTTTGCTGTGAAGTAGACACATGTGATCTTTGCAGACACACATTCCCAGTTTTGAGAGGTGTAAAACCAAGCACCTGTAATATCTTTTAGATAGAAAAATTGCTCAATGAGCTTATAGAAACCTCTGGAAGAGCATGACATTCTGAATAGATTAATAGAATTCATTTACCAAAGAATTTTAAACATTGCATGAATATACAGTCTTATGCTACATAATTAAATTTAATCCTTATTTCATGATGAATAACCTTTGGACTATAATGTCTCTTAAACAGAAAACTACCATTAGATAGATTTTTCTCAAAAAAGCATTTTATTTAAAAAATCCAATTTTAAATAAATATTTAAAAAGTATTTAAATAAAAAAATCAAATAAACCAAAATCTGATAAAATAATTCAGATTCAAATAAAAAATAAAAAATCTGATTTTGTTATTTTTTTATCCACCCTGATAGGAAGCCAAGAAGTATTGGCATCACAATCTTTGCTTTTTTAATGGATTCTTCATCTGGCAGGTGGAACCAAACTACACACTGAAAAGCAGTTGTTTGGATATCAATACTTCTAATGGTTGAAGCAAATGTGGCATGGGAGATCTCTTGCTGGACTCTCTATTCTTTATATTTCTAAGATGAGCAAAGAATTTTAAAAGGAACTGCAACACAGCACTGCTAGAATACCTCTGATCTTAATTGTGATAACAGCTTCCTATAACATTAGTGGATTAAACTATTTTATCATCAATTACTGTTGCACTGTATAGTTAGTGTACTTATTTTTCATGCATATTTAAGTCTTAACATAGTTGCCACAGGCTGTATTTTATTTCTGCTTGACCTCACTTTTTATACGTTTCTGCCCCAATGTGTATATATACCTGTCATCTGAGAAGAACATTTGTTCCATCTGATGAGGTGCACTCTAACCCACAAAAATTTGGCTACAGTAAATTTGTAGCTGGTTTAAACTCCTGCAAGTCTTTTTGTTCATAATCCATGATAAAGGAAATGTGTTGAGTCAATGACTATAAATTAAAAAGGACTTTCTCAGGACTTTCCATCTTGCTTTCAGGTTTCACCTCTAGATATTATAAATAAATTGGTCACTGCAGTAAGTTAAGAGCCATAGGAGGAAATTACCAACAAGCTTTTAAGGGCATTTCTAAAACTTCACTCAACAACCCAATTCCCCATCTGTGGTCCAAGTGATGTGATTACTAGTAACAATTCTCATTTGACCCTGACTTCCTCCTTTCTTTTCAGTATGCCTGAGTTCAATTTTATCTCTTCCATTCTTGGAAGAAGGTAAACAGCTTTCCTAAATTATTGTCATTATCAGTTTTGTCATCCCTGTCAGCTGCAGTGCTTCTCTTTCCAATGTCTTTGACAGTATCCTTTCCAAGTGGACTTTATTACCTGCATTTACGTTAAAATGTATAATTATTGTAATTAAGGTGGGTAATTAGAAAAAACTTGTTGAATTGAGAGACATAGCATGTAGCATACTAGAAATAAAGAACTCTGATTTGCACTAACTCTTTTTTCAAAATGAGCTTCCCAAGTATTTCAGCTGCTTTTTTCCCCCCTGTTGGAGTAGTGTCCTTTAAAGAGAAGCAATTGTCTCTGTAAACTTTCCCAACAACTTATTCTCTATATTTTGCAGCCTCACTTCAGTTGAGAGATGAATTGTTTTTGTTTAAAAAATGCAGGTGCTGGCTACCTCCTTTTGAGGATATGTCGGTCCAGGTGACAGGGCAACAAATGAAACATCAAGGGGCCCCAATTTGGATTCTCTTAGTTATGATGGAGAGGAGGTGATTTTGACCCCTTTTTGTTGTGCATTGCATAGCATTGCATATGTATGATAAGGGCTTTCATAATGGCTCCAAATGAGCATCTGAATAGCTGGAAATTTCTCCTAATTTTTATTTCCCTAGTGCTGAATGCTTAACATACAAACTAATCATTCTTTTGGTGAAGGCGCTAATGTTGCACAGATGGTATCAAAGCACTTCCCTTTGGTTTTTAATAAGCGACTAGTTTGTCAAAAAGATTTCTCAACTTCTGTTCTGAAAACCCATAATAGAGAATAATTTCAGTGGCATACAATGTACATCATTATATTCTTTTGATACAGATTAATGATAATTAAATCACATTTTTCTAATTGCTGTTTTTTTTCCTCTATAGCTTGTTAGTGCCTTGCAGGAAAGGCCTAAAAAAGCAGTGCTGCAGCTATAAATCTTTCTAAATCTTGATTTTTTTTCTTGTTGAGATTTTTTTTTTAAATTCATGGACTGCATTAAATGTCAACACAAGGAAACTGGGTTCTTCTTGTGGAAAATAATCCTACTTGAGTTTAGGTAGGGATTACTTGTAGGTTGCCCTATGCTACTGAATTCTATATCTTTGGCTAATATGTCATCTAGACAGTTCCTTGAGTTTTCCTTATCAAACTAAA